TCGCTGCTGGCTGATTGCTGGCCGGCTGGCTGCACGCTGGGTGGCTGCAGGCTGGGTGGCTGGCTGATTGCTGGCCGACTGGCTGCAGGCTGGTTTCTGGCCGGCTGGCTGCACGCTGGGTGGCTGCAGGCTGGGTGGCTGCAGGCTGGGTGGCTGGTTGGCGAGCCCTACGCTTGCCGCACCCTGTGGCTACCGTGCCATCCATTTCAGCCCTTGGTGCGGACGCCCGTGGTCCTAAAAAAAAAAAAAAACACCCTTCCTTCTCACCTCTCGTCGCGGCCTTCGGTAAGGTCGCCACTTTGAACGCACTTAGGCCCTGAATCGTGCGGCCTACCGCCACGCGCCACCTTCTTAGGTAGGGTAGGTATAATCCTAGTAGTCCCTCGGCCAAACTATTCCATAGCTCCATCAGATGCCATGATTAGTGGTCACACAACTGATTACCACTATTTCAGTCGGACGTTAGCGACGTCTAGCTTAAAAAAAAAAAAAAGTTTAAGCCTACCGGTCATAGGTCTGTCTGAACAACTTTGGCAACGTCAGTCTCGTCAAGTCCTTCAATTCCACGAAAAAGTCGAACAGCGTCCGACGTTGAAAACCCCGGCAAATACCCTTGTCAGGGTATTTGCCCCGACACCGGGTCCGGGTTCGGCGTAGCCATGGAAATAATTTTTTAATTTAAAATTTTATTTTAAATTTGGTAAAGAATTTCGATGTAACCCTGAGGCAAAAGTTGTTCAGTTTAATTTTCTGCATAACAGAGTGTTTTTTTCGGATTGTTTGCATGTTTTTTATTTATTTATTTTTGGCTGGGAGCCTGGGACCTTTCCTGGTCCTTGCACGGCCGGGCTGCCCGGGAAAATAAGGTGACCCGGGCGGCCCGGCTGGTAGCCTAGGCTTTTTTTTCTTCTTCTTCTTTTTTTTTTTAATTCGTTTCTTATTTATTCAAAGGTTGTGCAGGTTTGCTCCATTCAAAGGTTGTGCAGGTTTGCTCCAAGTGATATCGAATGAAAAGCTGAAAACCTCGAGCATAGAGGCTCTATAGCCTTGGGCCATGTGGATCTTCTAGATTCTGCCCCCTCCTTCTTCATTATGATGAATTCTCACAATTTCTCAGAGAGCAAACTCTGAACTACAAATTTTGAAATTTCTCAACTGAATTCAGTGAATTTCAGTCTTAATTGCCTGGCTTTCCACCCCGGGCGCCCGGGGTACCCCACCATGCCCGGAATGGCGCCCGGGGTGCCCGGCTGGGCGACCCCCCCGAGCAGGCACCCGGGCGCCTATCGCACCAAGGCAGAAAAAGCCTCCAATTTTTTTTTCGCGCTGCCACCCTATTCCGAACGTGCCAACTTCCATTTTGGCGGTCGGCGCATTTTTTTTAGGGGTCCAGTACGCCCTGTTTTGTAGGGGTTTTTTTTTCTTGGATTTTGGAAATGGACAAGCCTTCCAAGCAAAATAAATCAACTTGTCAGACAACAGAAGTAAAAGATAATAGGGGATGGGGAGAGAGAGACAGAGCAGGACAAAGGAGAGGAAACTAGAATAGTAAGAAAGACTCGAAGCAGACCTATGTCAAAAGGAAAAAGAACAGGACCACAAAGGCCATCAATCTCCAGCGATCGACGGCGCGCACTGATCCAGGATACAAAATTTAGTCCTGAGCTTCTCCTTCGTTTCTTCTTCTTCTTCTTCTTTCTTCTGTTTTTTCTCTTTCTGTTTCTCTTCTTTTTCTTCTTCTTTTTCTTCGCCTCCCTCCACCTTCCTCGGATGTGGTGCTGCTCCCTCCCTGTGCCCCCTCCATCACCTCGCCGCCCTCCTTCCTCCCTTCTCCCTCCTTCCTCACTCCTCTGACGTGGCGCTCATCCGTCCTCTTTTCCTCCTCTGACGTGCCGCTTCTCCCTTCTCCCTCTGTCTTGGCGCTCCTTCGTCCTCCCTCTGACGTGGCACTCCAGCACAGGTGGGACACAGCAGCTGATGCATCCCCCACCCTGTAAATGGACAGTCCATAATCCA